AAATACCAGTGAATAAAGTGCCAGAGAATGAAGCTCTTTCTCCCACACGTGTCACACACAGGATATTTTTCATAATGATTTATCCAACAAGTAACTGTGAACAGTCTTGCCAGGGGTCTTGAGTCTAAAATATCTGTAAGAACCGCATATAGAGAAGAATCTGATTGTAAGCATCCCCATAAATTGCCTGAGGCCTATGAAGGTCCCCTACTTGGATCAGAATCACATACAAGATATATGCAAAGAACTGGGGGAGATGAAATCTCCTCTGAGCTTAGATTTAAGTAACAATCCCCTCTCTTGTAGTTTGCAGCAAGCTGCGGTTCCTTTGTTAGCTCAGACTTTACAAAACAAACTTGCATGAAATTCCAGTACAGATCTGTGGATACCTCTATCACAGTGAACTGTTTGGCCTTTCTGACAATCGTCTCAAATATCTGCCTAAAGAAATGGTAAACCTCAAAAACAAACAAACAAAAAAAAAATCAAGGAAATTTACCTCCAGAAAAATAGATTTCAAAGTTTTTTCCCAAGGAGCTTTGTCATACTGCTAATTCAGAAATAATAGATCTAAAGTACAAAATATAATCAGTGTCATCACAGAAGATGACAATCAGATACAGGAGTTATTTGGTCCTTTGTTTTAATTTATATTTTATTGATACTTCCCTTTTGCAAAATCTGAGTTCTTCATTACAGCTGTGTGCCATCTTTCTTTACTACAGTGAGAAGGCGTTCACCACCTGGTATGCACCTGAGCCTGGGTTATTCATCACTGTATTCAGGCAAGTAGAAGAAAGCAAGAATGTGGAAACACTGACCTTTGTGTTGAATTATAAAGATGAAATCCCAATTGGCCAGCCTGCTTCTGTTGTTTTGAGTCTTTTTTTTTTTGTGTACACTGAAAAGTAAGAACTGCATTTGCTTAGACTCAATACAGTGACGTTAGTGAGGCTCTGGCACAGCCTGCCCACAGAAGTTGTGGCTGCCATCCCTGGAAGTGTTCAAAACCAGGTTGGAGGAGGCTTTGAGCAACCTGGTCTAGTGGAAGGTGTCCCTGCCTGTGGCAGGGGGATTGGTACTGGATGATCTTTAAGGTCCCTTCTGACCCAAACCATCCTGTGATTCTATCACAAACTGAAACAGAGTAGATAGCAATTTAAAAATGTATGTAGTATTATTAATGCCTTTAACACCACTAACATTTGCAGTTCATTTGATTTGTTTGGAAATACGGAGGATGATTCCAGGCAGGCAGAACACATGCATTTCTACTGGAACCTGCCTTTCCATCCTGTCTTACGGAGGTGTAAAAGCTGTTCTGAGAGTATCCCTACACTTCTGCAAAACTCTTCTCTGATGTTTTGACAGTCTTTAGTTAACAGTATTTTGAATGACTGCAAGCTGTCAAATCCTTAGTGTCACAGCTCATCTCTGAGGTAGCTTGGTGACAGTTTGTAAAACACCTGTGTACAACAGGCTTATTTTAAAGCAGGGAGTCTGCAGAATGCAATATTCAGCAACGATTCTGGGTCCTGCCGTGTCATAACGCCTTTGTTATTCAAAATAACCATGACAAATACCCCTTACTAAATTCTAGTATGCCAAATTTACACGCAGCCATGTCTTCCCACAGCACTTTACAGCTGTTTGGCCTACACACCTGATGTCCTTTTCTAGTTTTTATTCTGTATTGCTCGATGACTCCTTAAACCCCTCCAGAATTTCATTTGCAGCATACATAAAGCATAGGGAAGCACCGGGATCTGCCACTGCGATTTAAAATGCACAAGCGGGTGGGAGCAGACCTCTTTATTCAGTTTAACTGGTTGGTCAGAACTGCAGTCCTGCTGGCCCTCCCCTTGACAGAGTTGCCTTAGAGAAGGTGCTGGCATCTGGAAGGAGGTGGTGAAGGCTCACTGAGACCCGGCTCTTCCTAGAGCTCCACCTCCAGGTAGTGCTCTCTAAATGCTGCGGCTACATAGATGCAGACCTTATTTCTGTTTGGTTCTTGAATCAATGGATACCGAAACACCATTAACACGCCTGCTGGCAGGAGAGAGCTGGGAGTGCAGAAAAGTGGGATGGCTCAGTTTTGATTTTCCATTTTACTAGGTAACTGATGCTGGTTTGATTGTTTGGAGGTGTCTTACAAAATTTTTTCATCCTAAGTGAAGGCAAAGAGAAACAGAGAAGAATTATTCAGAGGCTGCAGAGGAGGAAATCATGGGAAGAAAGGTTTCCAGGAAGACTGGCAGATAGACAGGACATTTAACAGAAGTGCTTTAATAAAAGCTTTTTAATGGCACAATAGATATGACAGACTCATGAGAAGGCAAAGGCCTGGGAAAGTGATCATGAGCAGCAAGTGGTGAGGTTGCAAACAGTCTATATTGTGCTTTGGAGCTCAGAATGAGGACCCAACTAAGTCAAAGCAAGAAACCCCAATGCTGAAGTCCACTTCAGTCAGTAAGATTACAACAAATCTCAGATATTAAACATGGGTCAGCTGCTTTACTGAATTAGAGAGGGAGAGAGTTGAGAGTTTCAAGTGGGAAAGCTGTGACTCAGAGCAGATAAAGCATCAATTTCCCAGTTGGCCTAAAGGCAGATTTGAGGAGGACAGGTATAGAAAAGGAAAGGCATAGAAAAGCAAGTGATCAAGAGGCTGGTGTCCTGCTGTTAAACAGAAATGATGGTAATTCCATATCAGAGTCACTCTCCTGGCTTAAGTTTCTGATTGACAGTCTCTCTTGTTAGCCCTGTATGAAACTGGGGCTCTTTGCTTCATTTCAGAAGTTGAGGATCTCTGTAGAAAATAACTGATGCCACACCGCAGAAATTCCCAGCTACCTCTGACCAAGATACTCCAGTTCACCTCATGTTTCTGAGAGCTGCGGGAGCCAAGCACACTTTTCATGTGGAACTGAAACTGGAACCAGAGAGTCCATGGAGACCCTCACACAAAACTATGGATTAAACAATCGAGAGGTATCATCACACCATGCTCAGCTGCTGGTTATAACCCTGACCAGCCAGAAGCTGATGTTGGAAGGGTCACCTAGACTGAATATTGATGTACATCTGCATGAGAGGGGTCCTAGCAAGTTAAGAAAGTGCAACTTTGTGCCTCTCCTTCACAAGATTGCTGTAGCATGTAGATATACTCAGAGCTAATTCAGCAGTACTTTATCCCTCAAGCTGCCTTGGGATTTCTCTAAGACTCCTCACCCAGTGGGCAGATCTTATCTCTTTACTTCCTAAAATACCTTTCCAATGAATAATCCCACTGCAGTCTTTGAGCTCACTTGTGGGTTAACATGCTCCATGACACGAGTGACTATGCCGGAATTCAGCGCTGTTTAAGCAAATACAGAAAAATGCCAAATAAATTATCAAATAAAAAAAAGGAAGAACTACTTACACATCCCAAGTTGGTGCTTTTTCTAACAGTTCTTGGTCACAGATCAGGGCGCTGTGCTCTTAACTAGAAGATGCCCTGTGGCTTTCAATAATAGACTTTGCTTATTTCCTTCATCTTTAGGGTGAGTATAAGAACATTGTCTATGTTACAAGGTGTTGTGAAGGTTAATGGATTAATCCTGAATGTGGGAAGCATGAAGGCACTGTGGGAACTCCCACTGGCTTTCATACGCTGTAGATCAGACTCTTACATCTGAAAGTTTGTTTTTTGTTGTTGTTGGGGTTGGTTTGTTTTGGGGTTTTTTTGTGCTGCATGTCATAAACGGGTCTGTACAGAAAGTGCAGTCTGAAACAGCTCAGGATGAGAAGGGGCATCCCTGAAGTTTCCTGAAGTCTTTGCATAGCCTTACCCAGAATGCTTTTGGATTGCTCTGTATACAAACTTCCGTGCTAAGGTAGCAGGACATCTCTCTCACTTAACCTACCACAGCATTTTCCCTGTCCCTGACACCTGCAAAGACACCGATCAACTTGATTTTATGTTGATTCTGTACACAGGACTCATCCACACTATGAGATGGCATCAAAGGCTGAGCCGAGGCAGAACAGCTCCTTATGTATTTTCCTTACTGGACTAATATATAATCCTGAGTTGTCCGGATGCTGTCCAAATCTCACAATTTTACAGATTCACAAAGAGGCAAAAGTTTTGGGGGAGAAGAAACTAAAATTTAGAACATAGAGGTTTCAAGTATTTTCAGACGTTTTTCTTACGTACATGAGGCCACATTCACACTGCCCAGCCACCTGCATTAGCAAACACCCCAGCCACTTCCTGCTCTTGGCAAACCTGCAGTGTGTCCATCTGAAATCATCATTGCTCATTTGACAGTAGTCACTGTGGTATTCATAACACAAAGATTAAGCATATATAGTAGTGTGAGCATGGCCCAGAGAATCTGAGAGAGTATGTTATTAACCATAGAATCATAGAATAGTTAGGGTTGGAAATGACCTTAAGATCATCAAGTTCCAACCCCCCTGCCATGGGCAGGGACACCTCGCACTAAACCATATTACCCAAGGCTTCGTCCAACATGGTCTTGAACACTGCCAGGGATGGAGCATTCACAACCTCCCCGGGCAACCTATTCCAGTGCCTCACCGCCCTAACAGGAAAGAATTTCCTCCTTATATCCAGTCTAAACTTCCCCTGTTTAAGTTTTAACCCATTACCCCTTGTCCTATCACTACAGTCCCTAATGAAGAGTCCACCCCCAGCATCCCTATAGGCCCCCTTCAGATACTGGAAGGCTGCTATGAGGTCTCCACGCAGCCTTCTCTTTTCCAGGCTGAACAGCCCCAACTTTCTCTGCTTGTCTTCATACAGGAGGTGCTCCAGTCCCCTGATCATCCTCGTGGCTCTCCTCTGGACTTGTTCCAACAGATCCATGTCCTTTTTATGTTGAGGACACCAGAACTGCACACAGTACTCCAGGTGAGGTCTCACAAGAGCAAAGGGGCAGGATCACCTCCTCCGACCTGCTGGTCCGCTCCTTTTGATGGAATGGATGGAATAATCTGCGCATGCAGAAGGTTAAATAAGTTTTTTATAATTGTGGAACTATTTCAGGAGTTCTTATGAGACGAGATAGCTAAAACCTGGACTGTCTTCTAAGTCAGAGACACATAATACTTGGTTCATGTGCTGCTTGTGAAAGGCCTTCCAGAAACCTTCAACCTCCATCAACAGTCAAAACGAATGTTTCTTTTGTTGTCTTGGTTAAAGCTTTCCAGTTGTTCCCGTTGTAATTCTGAAAGGACCCATCTTTGCATCCCCAGTTCTGCCAAGGCAGGTTGCTTTGTCAATGCTGCTGACAACTCACTGAACCACATCCCACAGTCACGGCAGGACGATGGGCGAAGACTGACGTCCAGCTCTGAGAGTTCTTTGAATACTGTTAAGCCTTGACAGAACATGACCCATCCCTCCTCAGATACATTGTTATTATAACTCAAATCCAGCTTCTGTAATCTGGCTAGGTGACCATCCTGCGTCAGCAATGCTGCAAGAAATTACAGACACAAACACAACTAATACATCCTCACAACTGCCTTAAAAGCTTATAAGTAAGAATAGTAGTATTTTAATACCATATTATTTAAGACTTTTCAGCAGTCAAACAGCAAGATTCAACTCCTCAGCAACATTAAATCACATGCTGTTGATGTCAGAAAAACTTTTATCACAGCTGAAGGAGTGTACAACATTTAAAACACAGGCAATTCAAAAGGAACAGAAGTATAGGGTTAAAATTGCATGACAGCCTGAAAACCTTTGAGTCAGTTGGATAGAAATTGTATGCAGTGCTAATTAAAATAGGCAGAGAAGCTTTACAGGGAGACAACTACAGGCTGGGCAGAGATGGATCAAGAGTAGCCCTGACGAGAGGGACTTGGGGGTGTTGGTTAATGAGAAGCTCAACATGATCCAGCAGTGTGTACTTGCAGGCCGGGAAGCCAACCATATGCTGGGCTGCATCACCAGCAGCAGGACCAGCATGTTGATGGAAGGGATTTTCCCACTCTACTCAGCTCTCATGAGACACCCCCCCCCCCCCCCAGAGTACTGTGTTCAGCTAGGGGGCCCCCAACACAAGAGGAACATGGACCTGTTGGAGTGAGTCCAGAGGATAGCCATCAAGATGCTCAGAGAGCTGTAGCAGCTCTGCTATGGAGACAGGCTGAGAGAGTTTGGCTCAGGGGAGACAACAGGGGAGATAACAGTCTTCCAATACCTAAAGGGGGCCTACAAGAAATATGGAGAAGGACTTCTTACAAGGGCATGCAGTGATAGGACAAAAGGGAATGTTTTTAAACTTAAAGAGGGTAGATTTAGATTAGACATGAGAAATTCTTTACTATGAGGGTGCTGAGATACTGGAACAGGTTGCCCACAGACGTTTTGGATGCCCCATCCCTGGGCAAGTGTTCAAAGCCAGGTTGGATGGGGCTTTGAGCAACTTGCTCTAGTGGAAGGTGTCCCTGCTTGTGGCTGGCGGGAACCAGATGATCATTAAGGCCCCTTCAAACCCAAACCATTCTATGATTCTATGATTCTAAGATTTAGAAAGAGGAAAGCAAAACTAGATGAGGTTGTGTGATTACAACAGCCACTTCTCACTGTGGGTGGGTAATGGTCCCGATATACCCTAAAGGGAACTGGGATCCCTAATGTACAATTGGCAAAGGAGACACCCATCAAGGGTGGTGTTTATAAAGTCACAAATATTCAGGCTTCATCTCACCAGCCTTCAGATTACAGGGCCTTAATAACTGCCACGCAGCTATTGCCAGTCTCAGACACTCAAAACACATGAGTAAGGCCCACAGAATCACAAAGATGATTATAAACTAAACAGGTTTTTAAGGGATCCTAGAACTGATTCCATCATCAGGTTTCTGTTTTCCAGTATTTCTCAGCAGCTGCTAAGAGATGGGCAAAAGTATTTCTGATTTGATTCTTCTACAGTAGTGTGACACCCTGAAACACACCTAATGGACTGAGAGCTAATAGTGCCTGTATTACTGCCTGTCAGCATGTACATTTTCTAGAAATTACTGGACACAGAGCCAGCAACTGAATAAAATAAAACTCCTCACAGGCAGTTTAAACATCTGATATAAAAAACAGATGCAAACCCTACATTTTCCAAGTGCTGCCTTTTTGTATTAATACTTAAAACTACTAAAAGATTCTTTGTACTTTGTACACTTTTGCACTGTGCATGTACAGGACAGCCAGACTTCAGTAAAATAAAAAGCCTTTCTGGGTAAAATATTGCTTAATTTTCCATCTTTTCATTTGATTTACGCAAAAACGTGCTCAGCCCATAGAACAAGTGCCTTCTGAATTGTGGTCTGAATGCCCTGGCTCCTTGACTGTTAGTAAATACCATGTTATACGTACTTAGAAGGGCCAAATCTTCATCCACCAAGTTACAGCTGCTCAGTCTTAACACTTGAATCTCCATTGCAAGCTTTAGTGCTCCCAAAAGCAGCTTTAAGTTCCCACCAATGCACTTATTCCAGGAAAGGTCTAATATCTCCAGTTCAGGAAGGTGAAGGGCAGCCTCAGCTGAAAAGATTAAGACCAGCAACTTCTGCTTACTGAGAGAAAACAATACAGCTTCAATAGACAGCTCACCAACAATTCACCTGTAAACAGGCTTCTAACAGGCTGCCTACTTGTGCGGAGAATGACTTATTTCATCCTAATAAAAGTCAGAATAAAGAATATAAGAAGGGCCTGCCTACAGAATCTGTAAGAACTCTGTGGAGGGGTTTCTTGTCTTTATGTTATTGGCTTGACCTTGTCCCATTGAAGCCAATTTAACTTAACAGCTTGTTTTTAAACCATTTTGTATGAATTTAAAGACAGCAAATTCTTGCTGTGAACTCACCATGCAAGGTGAAATGCTCTGTATCTTTTGACAACACCAATTTCCATGATGTCGCTCTTCCATATTGTAATGATATAAATACAGTACTTTTTCCTGCAGGGACCTCAGACCAATTTAGCTTTCTACTGCTTCTGCTGAAGGCAGTAAAATTTTACTACAGGTTTCAATGTCACTAGTAAACAGTACAAAATAAGTGCATTTTGTGGTAACTAACTGATCCCTCCTAGGGGTACTCAGGTTTCATGTGCCATATGGAACACTTACCAAAAGTACAGTGTAGCCACTAATCCACTGGGATTTGCAATAAGTAGGCAAAAGAGACTGAATTTACATGTCCCACGTTAGACCGGACTTTTCTTCATAGCTATGCAGTCTCTTTTCTACTAATGCAGCCATTGCTTCAGTTCCTCCACTGCCCCATGCTTAACTCTGTTCCAGAGAGTTTCTACTGAAACTTTCACCAGCAGTGAGGTGAAAAACCTTCAGTCAGAACTTTACCCCATTAAACTGCAAATGCAGTGTTACAACCAAACTATAATTACAGCATAATATAAAATCATGTTTTCCTTTCTCTTCCCAAATTAGGAAGTATACAAAAGCTCGCTATCAGACAAAAGACTAAAAGGACTTCATCCAGTTAGGTATAATGGGCGAAGACAGACAATGGCCTGCCCTTGCAGCTGGGTCCCACAAAGCACCGGTTTCATCACAGGCTTTTTCAGCTGGGACCTGTGGTATAATGTAGCCATAGTCTCTGGAGTTCAGCCAGTGGAGAATGAAGTACTTATCCCACAAGGATACGTAGAGAATAGACACTCTTTAAAAAACCATTCCTATCTAGTGATGAAAACGACTCTTCACCTAAACCACAATTGCTGATGGCCACAGATTTCAACTTCAGTAACAACCTTAGCCTGCTCAGAAGAGGTCCAGATGAGACGTCCACATTTTTATTCGAGGATAAATTCAGCTCTTGAAGGCTGGAGAGTAAAGGTATCACCTGGGCTGTGAAAACATGAAATATTTATTAGACAGTCACCAATCCAAAACAAACATGTAGTTGTATACTTGCTTGACATAATTTCTGCTCTTTATAAATCAATCCAAAAGTGAAGGCCAAATTCTGACACTCAGATTTATGGTGAGTAATGTTTTAGTCCATAAATAGCCTTTTTATTTTCAGTAGGAATGTTTAAGAAATTAGGTATTACATACTGTGTGGAAGGTCGTCAGAACACAGCTTCCTTTGAAATTTTGTAGGTGAAGTAGGGAATTTAACATTAAATGAGATGGGGGTTATTTCTAAATGTCTTTGCTGATAACTGAAACTCCTTTGTATTAATGCTATTATTTTCTATTAGTCAATAGATTAAAAATAAATTATGTTTGCTATTAGTAATAGTCAGTATTTCCCAGTGCTTCAGCAGTAGCTTTTCAAATTGTTTTCTTTATCATGGAAAATAAGACGTAGGCAATATAGGCTTTGAGTCATGGGATTTTATTGTTATTGTTCTAAAGAGTAAAAAAACCAATGTCAAGATATTGTGATAATGCACACAGAAAAATTAACTGGCTCACTAGGTTAGGCGGAATCTCTTACACCTTTGAGTGCTTTCAGAAGTCAAACCCTACATTCTTAATGGATTTCCTCAATATGTTCTTACGCAAAATGGTCATGTCCTATTCTGTTACACAGCACTGGTGGAAATCAAGGACTTCAAGATTTTTCAAGCTGGCCAAATGAGCTGTTGAGTCTTTAAAGCCACCACCAATCTCTTTGTTACATGATAAGTCTAATTTCCTTAGGTCTGCAAGGTGCTGTAAAGCAGAGTCTCAAATGGAAAAGGGAGCATCCTGGTCACCGGCTGCCACAATAGCACAGGTCACAGCTTTAGCATTTATTTATTTACTTCAACGTCAAAGTTTGCACAAGGTAGTGCAGGCAAAGCTCTTAGACTAAGCTTCAGTATATAATCACAGGAGACATACAGTAATACCACAAAGCTCCCCCGTCTTTGCAACTCCATTCCTCTCTGAAAGAGCAGGTGAAGGTGAGGCCAGCTCATCCCCCAGATCCAGTCAATCCTCAGCATTTTGCTGAAATTACTACTGGATGTGATAATCAGTGGCAGTTGGTTTGTCTTCTGGATAAAACCTCCACTAGGGAGAGACACAGACAATGAGCGCATTTCATATGGCTTCACTAGACACTCATTAAGTGATGATGGTGAATTTGGATTTCCCCCTGAGAGTAGGGATTAGTTTGTTAAACGTTAGCTAGAGTGTCTGGGCCTTGTCTGTTCTGTCTGGGGAGAGAGGAAGCATGTCCACAGAGCCACTAATCTACCCTAAGAAGTGTCTCAGATAAATGGTGTGGAGGGTGACTCTCCCCACTGACTGTCACATGCTTGAGCTCAGGGAAGATAAATGCTAGTCCTTCTGAAAGTCTCTGTAGTCTTTTCTCAATCCTCAAACAGCAAATAACGATTGCCCATTAATACTGCCAAACCATCAGCAAAATCCCACCTCATTGCCTTTCTTAAATGGTTTTCAGATGTACAATTTATTCGGAATTAAAGTCTTTCAGAACATGAAGTCTAAACCTTGCTTGAATCCACACATGTGCAAGTTTAACTCTTTCAAGCCTGGCACATTTTTCAGAGCCTGAGCAATAACCTTCATGCTGCAGCCAATGAGTTTGTTGATAGAGAGATCTAATACTTCAAGGTTTGGGATCACATTTAGAATTTCAGCTGGAAAAAAAAAAGAAAATAACAGAATTGGAAATTGTCTGCAATACATACAGATGAACCCTAGAAAAATATAGCACCATGGCAAACAAGAGGAGGTAGGCAGGTTTGCCTATATGTGTGGTTTAGACTTACTAAGTTCCTGTTCTACCTAAAAATACAGTAAGACAAAGATTGGATAGGAATAAAGAAAACCAATGAAAAAATCTGCCTCAAAATAAAGGTGAAAAAAAATACAAGGATAGCTAGGAAAATACAGGGGAATAAAAATCAGAAGTACGAGAAAGAAAAAATTATAATGAAAATATATACGACTTTATGCTGCATAAGGACCACCTGCTACAGTGCAGATGAGTGCATAGAGGTTTCTCTTTAGGGAGTAAGTATCTTTTGAAACACACAATCATATCCAAAGATGACACAGGATTAAGCTATGGTGAAAGAGAGGAGGGATGGTCAGTGGTTGCCGACTCAGCCTAAATCCTCATTGCTCAGGCCTTCTTTCCCATCCCACAGCTAACTACCTAATTTTAAGCAGTCAGTGTTGGAAATCCCGGCGTATATGATTTGCTCAGGGTCTCAAAGGATCAAGCAACCCTGGACCACCGAGGCAGCTAGACTGCGGATTAGATCTAGCTATTTTTCTTCTCAACCATACCTCCTGTGATTAGGGAGAACAACTTTCTTCCTTGAAAGAAAGTGCATTAAAATGCAACACTGTTATAATGCAGAGCCTGAAATAAATTAACTTTCTACTAACACTGAGCTCACTACAGCCATGGTCTAAGTCGAACAGGTTATATCTCCGTGAAGCCACCCACAGTCCAGCTACATCGATACACATACCACGGGATTCTCCATCTTTTGCCGTCAGGTTACAGTCTGTGATCTTCAGAAGTTTTAACTTGCATCCTTTCTGGATTTTTTTTGTCAAGAGTGATAGTTTTCCACCTATGTTACTGTTCCATGATAAATCCAGTTCTTCAAGTTGAGAAACAATTTCAAATGCCTCTCCTGTAACAGATGTTTAAGATGACTCATTCTAGGTATCAATTTCAGTGCAAGATGAAAACAAAGGTTTGGAATATATTAAAGAGGATGGTTAGTCACTTCATTCTCAAACTACTGTATTTCAAATGGCTTGCCACAAAAATTGGTATATGTGTGAATTGTTGCTACTGCAGCAATGTTGTATAAACTGTCACCTTGTCTAAGGAGCTAAACAGATCACAAGTCATTGTCACTGTACACACAGGCCTGGAATTTGTTCAGGTTCCCAAATCCCCATCAGACTGGCCATAATTGCAGACCTTTCCAGGACCCCAAAAATCTAGCCTATAGGAAAATCAATGCAAGTGACAAGTCTGAATTTATTGCCCTGTGTAGTTCTGCTCTATTTTATTTGTCAAGCTTCCAATGTCCTCTGTAGTGTGCCCACAGGTCATTTTGGAGGGGATGAAAGAAGGTCCTCTCCCAACTATTTCTGAATATGTAAAAGTTTCATTTCTGACTCACTTCATAAGAAATCAAGATGAGCATGGTTTTGACCAAAGCCAACTTTCCCATGACTTCAAGGCAGATGGCACTGATTTTGCTTACACTCAGAAAAAAAAAGTCTTTTGCAGTCTTGATATACCTCCCAGTGTGAACTGGGTTAGTGCTTCCTTGCAATACTAACATGCCACTGCAAAATACAGCTTCCTAACTTCCTTTGTAGAGGAGGAAGGCAGGTGTATATTTGCATAAACTAAGTCCCAAAGAAGATCAATTAATCAGACCATATGCAAATACCATTTCAAAGTGCCACAAATTTTTATATGAAGTCTTGTCATCAACCTAGCAATTAAGAATTGCATATTAATAATAATAAAACACACATCTGTGTGTTTTCCAAATTAATTCTTCACAAAAGTTTTATAATAGAAAACTATTTCTGTTGTTGAAAGGGAATATCTAGGTCTGAGAGAAAAGGAGATGTTGCAGTTTCTGTTTCTGCACTTACTCAAAATGATTGCCTCATTCTTGAACACTAACCAATGCTCTGCAGCTGAGAAATCCTTTTGCCTCTACAGCATAGCCTGGTTCTGTTTGACATGGGGAGTACCATTCTAGACACATTTTCCACCCAGAAGATAAATAAAGGACTACAACTCCAGGAATGGTTTCCTATCACTTCTCATAGCTCTAAGCAATCACATAGGAGAGGCTGATATTATGGTTATATGATTTCTAAGCAGAATGCACTGAGTCCACAAGTGGCCACGTTTCCACAGATAAATATGAACATAGTCAAACAGGCAGTAGTGGCCTAAATGCACATACTGTTTTCGAAATTGCAGGCAAAATCAACGCAAACTGTGTTGCTATTCTACATGTCAAGGGCATCGCATTTTGGCTGGAAATTCAAGTTCTATGATCAGTTTTGTATCTGTCTCAGCAGAGACCAAGCCAGAAGAGGGAAGGAAACTGCAGAGAAGAACCAGGCAGAATAAATCAATTGGAAATATAACCAGTAACTAATAAAACTCAAGGGCTTGATAAAGGATAAAATAAATTTGGAAAGAAAAAAACAAACACAACACGAAACAAAGATCAGAAACGGACCAACAATTGTTTTCACCAGCTTTTGTAGAGATGAGAGATATAGTTTTCGTCCCCAGCAGATAACATGACCCACTTTTGTTCTGCCACCATATATGTCGTTTTATTGCCAAACCTTTCCTGGAAAAAGCCTAGATATGAATGACATAAACTCCAGTTTTTTGAGTCTGCCCTCCTTTTTGATTCATATCACAGACACATACCACAGTAAACTCCAGGCCCAGAGGTCACTCAGTGTCAGAACCTGAGTGCATAACACTACCTTTAAAACTTTTAAATCTCATGCTTTGCAGAAAGCAGGGTTGCAGGCACTCCAAGCAAAGAAGTAATCAAGGGAATAAGCTTCTCCCAGGCCTGCAAAAACAAGTCATAAAGCTTCAAGCAGCACTTCTGTTTTTAAGTCTCTTCCAAAAGATCAACATTTTTTTGTGATGAGCACTTATCTGTCCTGCCTCGTGAAGACCTAAGGTGACCCTATTATGACTGACTCTGTTTCAGTTCTTCTATCATTAGATATCAAAGATAGAAAAACAAAACAAAACACTAATTGGAATTGAAAACACGCTTTCCTGCAAACAGGACTGAATTCTGTTCCTGTCGGAGGAGCGACCCGAATCAAGAAGACAATCCCAATATGAGTTACGCTTCTTGTTCGATTTATTGCACAGGCTCACCTAATTTATACCATTGGTGATAGTTTACGTGACAGCTGTACATCTTTCATTGGCTACATAAACCTGTCCACGCGCCTGTCTATACATTGCTATTGGCTAAGCTAAGTCTTACACACATATCTCTGCAGCAGCAGGGTGCGTGCCTTGCGATAAGCGGTGCATTCCTTGTGGCCAGCAAGCTCCTGTTGCAGCGTTCTGCTTACATTTCTTCGACTCCAGGCCTCTCCAGCTCAGCTGAGTCAGAGAGAGTTCAAGGCTGTCTCACTCGGCTCTGATCCTGGGTTGTGCAGGCCCTCATGAGAATAACCATTGCTCCACACTGGGATTCCATAGGAAGCACTGTGATTCCATAGGGAGACACTGGGATTCCATAAGGGGACACTTGACATCTCCAGTGCCTGGAGTGGATGGAGCCACAGGAGATGCCTCATGGGACTCATATAGGGGATGCTGTGTCCTCCTGTGGACTGCTATATGGGGCTGAGGGGGTCTATATGGCACCAAGGGTACCCATATGGGGTTAGGAGCATCCTGTTGGGGTTAGGAGCATCCTTATGGAGTTAGGAGCATCCTTATGGCGTTAGGAGCACCCTTATGGTGTTAGGAGCATCCATATAAGACATGGGGCTTCCATATGGGACCACCAGCATCCATCTAGCGCTGAGGGCCTCTATAAGGGGATGAGGGGCTCTATATGGGCCTACAAGCAACATCCATATACAACATGGGACCTCTATACGGGACCACAAGCATCCATCTACGGCTTAGGGCTGAGGGACTCCATATGTAGCTATGGGCCTCTACATGAGACTGAGGACCTTCATATAGGACCAAGGGCCTCCATATGAGACTATCACAGTATCACAGTATGTTAGAGATTGGAAGGGACCTCAAAAGATCATCTAGTCCAATCCCCCTGCCGGAGCAGGAACACCTAGATAAGGTTACACAGGAACGTGTCCAGGCGGGTTTTGAATGTCTCCAGAGAAGGAAACTCCACAACCTCCCTGGGCAGCCTGTTCCAGTGTTCTGTCACCCTCACTGAGAAGAAGTTTCTTCTCAAGTTTAAGTGGAACCTCTTGTGTTCCAGTTTGCACCCATTGCCCCTTGTCCTATCATTGTTTGCCACTGAGAAGAGCCTGGCTCCATCCTCGTGACACTCCCCCTTTATATATTGATATACACTAATAAGGTCACCCCTCAATCTCTTCTTCTCCAAACTATAGAGACCCAGCTCCCTCAGTCTTTCCTCATAAGAGAGATGCTCCACTTCCTTCATCATCTTAGTTGCCCTGCGCTGGACTCTCTCCAGCAGGTCCCTGTCCTTCTTAAACTCAGGGGCCCAGAACTGGACACAATATTCCAGATGGGGTCTCACCAGGGCAGAGTAGAGGGGAAGGAGGACCTCTCTCGACCTACTAACCACCTCCCTTCTAATACACCCCAGGATGCCATTGGCCTTCTTGGCCACAAGGGCACAGTGTCGGCTCATGGTCACCCTGTTGTCCACCAGGTCACCTCTAACAGGTCATTCCCCAACCTATACTGGAACCTGGGCTTGTTCCTGCCCAGATGCAGGACTCTACACTTTCCCTTGTTCTATTTCATCAAGTTATTCCCTACCCAACTCTCCAGCCTGTCCAGGTCCCTCTGGATGGCAGCACAGCCTTCTGGCGTGTCGGCCACCCCTCCCAGCTTAGTGTCATCAGCAAACTTGCTGATAGTACACTCAATTCCCTCATCTAAATCATTGATGAATATATTAAATAATATTGGTCCCAGTACCGACCCTTGAGGCACTCCACTAGATACAGGCCTCCAACTAGACTCCGCCCCATAGACTACAACTCTCTGGCTTCCCTCCTTCAGCCAGTTCACAGTCCACCTCACTACCCGATCATCCAGACCACACTTCCTCAATTTAGCTGCGAGGATGCTGTGGGAGACTGTGTCAAACGCTTTGCTGAAGTCAAGGTAGACCACAATAGGATACCCGATAACCATTCACTCACAGAAAATGTAATAATTGCACTGTCCACTGGAGACATTCTTCCTTGGTTTCTGTAGCAGTTAACAGGTCATGCACGTGTTGTAACAGAGTCCCCGTCTGAGCAGGTGGCTGCCATGATTCTAGTTCTCATGCTAGCTGATTTCCAGAAATTGCTGGACTGTTTTTAAACCCCTGTGGTAATACTGTCCGTGTTAATTGAGTTTCCCTTCCTGTGTCAGGATTTTCCCATTCAAAAGCAAATAACTTTGGCTTTCTTTGGACAATGGGAAGCAAAACAAAGCGTCCTTTAAATCCAGGACGGCAAACCATTTCTGATTATTATTCAATTTAGTCAATAAGTCATTGAATTAGCTACTACTGGACGAATATCCTCTGCAATTTTGTTGATTACTCTGAGATCTTGAACCAAGCTGCAACTTTTCCCATCATATTTCTTTGCTGTCCAGATAGGAGTGTTATATTCCAATTCACATTCAATTAATAATCTATATTTTAATATTTATCAATGATTTTTTTTTATTCCATCTTCTAATTTTAAGGGATACTGTTTTATTGTGATTGGGCAGGCCCCCGTTTTTATTTCCACTTTAACAGGCAAAGCATTTTTTGCCTTACCTGGAACTTCAGATGCCCATACTCCCACATATACCTGATTAAGGGTTTCTTCTATTTCAGGGAGGTCCTCCTTTTTGCTTTTCTGTTGAATTAGAGATAAACTCAAAACTGCAATTAATTGATTGATTGTTTTTAACTCTAAATTCCATTTTGCCTTCTTTAAGTGTTGCTTCTCATCCTAATAAAGATTTTAGAGAATTTGGCATGCATAAAAATTTACGCATTCCAATTTGTTTTCCCAATTTGTATGTTAACGGTTTCAGAAAGAATGCCTTTTTTTTTTTTCCCCCTCTCTTTTTCTTGGTGGCCACTAGCTCCCACATCTGTAACGAATTCTTTTCTCTCTGATTTAACACCGAATAAGTTGCTCCTGTATCCACTAAAATTCCACTTTATTTCCTCTAGTCCCTAGTTTTAATGTAACCGGTGGATCTGCTAGGGTAGATTCCCCACGTCCCCATCAGTTTACTTCCAGTTCAGTTCTAGTTCAGTCACCGGAGCCACCCCATGGCACTGCCCCCCCCCCCCACAGGGCAGCCTCACTTCCAGCGTCCAATCCCCCCATAGCACACACACCGATCTGGTCCCACAGAAGAGGACCCCACTCCCCCACCTCCACCCAACATCCCTCCTCCCATGCTCAAACACTGGAGCTGCTCGAGCTCCCCCCCATTCCCCCTTGGTTTTCCCTTTTTTTCCCCTTTTCCTCACAGCGGCTCCCCCTGCTCTGCAGGGCCTGCAGGTGCCTGCCTCTGCAACAGCGCTTCTGGTTTAACCCCTTCTTAACTCTGAAGGTGGATGTGCCGCTGGTTGCCAGTGACAGCAATCTCTTCCTCCTTATCAATATCAGATAGGACAGATGCAGAGGCTGCTCCTCTCTGAGGCACCTGTGGTACGTGATTTTCCACCCTATCTTCCTGATTACTGTTTTTTAACTTTAAACATCCTTCCCCAATATCACAAGGTGAGCATCTCCAGCTTAACTTAGTTTTTCCCTGTCCTTTTCCAAAGCCAAAATTAAGGAATCTGGCAGAGCTATATTAATTTTGCATTCAGTCTGTCACTCTGGGTAATTTCTTAAAGTGAAAAACATATCTGCATACATTACTTCATCCCATTTTCCTTGCCCCCTCAAAACAACATCAACTGTAACACTTGAGACAAAGACTTAAATTCAACCAAACAACAGTTAATAACACAGTTACAACATACTGTCACCAGTACCAACATCATAAGACCAAAATCATTAATGTAATAAGCCACAAAATAAGATGAATAACATTAGTAGGCAGGTTTCCTTGAACCCTTTATAGTTGACCAGCCTGTCAGTGTCCCAAGAAGGATGAGACCCTTGTGTCCAACCAGCCTGTCTGCTTCCCACTGTGGGAACCATACTGGACAGCCAGCTCTATGGGAGGGTGATTCTACTAACCTATTCAGGGACCCACACTGACGGCATCACTGAATCAAATCCCTTATGGGCTGTTGATAGCACACTGGGCCCAAAACCATTTCCACAGGACACCCCCCTGTGTCTTGTAGGACCCAAACCACAAGATGCCCCCTGCTTAGTTATAACAGTCTGTCACTGATACCAAAATCACAAGAACAAAATCCTTAATATAACAAGCCATAAAATAAATCAAATACCAGTAAAATCCAAAACCTTTTCTGCAAGACACCCCCACATCATTTTCCAGAGAGTTCCCCACATGCATACAGAATTGTGGTGCTGGCCTCTGAGGGTCGCTTACTTCTTCCAACAATCTTCATCACTTCTGGCAGCCTTTGAAGCACACGCAGTAGATGCTCATACCACTTTAATTGCTTCGTTAGCACCAGAGACATAATAATCCTCCAATCCTCCTACTTATCAGTTAGTTTAACTGTAGCCCATCCTGGACACCTGCAGTTCCCAGATACCCCTTATCCCTGGGTCCTGTTTTTCTAGGCTGTTTTTTCTTAAAGCTGTGTCAACCATAACGATTTATCTTGTGAGAATTCTCACTATGTTCTCTAGCTGCACTCTCTCTATATATTTTTCTCTATGTATCCTGCACCTCAGTAATTTTCCATTGCTACTGTTACAAAGCCATCAAACTTAACATTACTTAAAGCTACTTCTAAAGATTTCTATATCCCATCTTGTAATTTTGTCGTCCCCCCCCCCCCCTTTCTCAACTTGTCTTGAAGACCCTTAGTGACTAACCTGTAATTGGTTAAGCACAGGTGTGAGAACTTGACCTCCAAGCTTGCCAACAGCCCACAGTTCTCATAACTCAGTGAATTCCAGCTTCTCCTTCTATCTCACTTGCTTAAGCTTCCTCGGGCCTCTCATGGCCTTGCTGTATCTTTTGGGATTATTCAGATTTCATGTACCAAATATCCATTCTCCTGTGAGAGCACTGTCTCCACACAAGTTGTACTTGTAGAAATTTGATCTATCTTATCTGTTCTGCCTGAGAAACTAAAATAGCATAATAGCTCCCAGATGCAGAAAATCCACATGTTTTCAGGAGCTTAGAAGGACGTGCTATGGGTATGGCACTGGTAAGCGATCCGAACCAGAATACCTTGGACATCCTGGAGCACGACATGGGTATGTACTCAGCAGTGTTGTGCTTCTGTGGCTGAGAGTACCGCAGGGCTCTGATCAAGGACTCTGTGGGTCTCATGCTCTGCTAGGGAGGGAGGGAGGCTGGGAGGAAGCAGGGCCAGGACACCTGACCCAAACTGACCAAAGAGGAATTCCATACCCCAGCACGTCCTGCCCAGGGAGGTAACGGGGAGGTACCCGGAAGGGCACTCTCTTCTCGGTCGGGCTCATTTCAGCAGGTGGTATCGTATTCTCTTCCCTTGTTATTTCCCTTACCATTATTATCATTGGTGGCAGCAGCACTGGTTTGTGTTGTACCTCAGTTGCTGGACTGCTCTTATCCCAACCCGTGGGAGTTACATTCTTCCCATTCTCCGCCCTATCCCTCCAGGAGCGGGGGGAAGGAGCGAAGGGCTGCGTGGGACTGAATTACTGGCTGGGCTTAAACCATGACAACTTGTCAGGTGCAGAGGGCCTGCGGAGCTAGGTCCTTAGTCAGAGGCTTCCTCTTGGAAGCTCACTGCTGCAGCAGTCTGGGGGCTCTTGGCTGTGCAAGGTTGGGTGAAATGTCTTCAGTAACACTTTGGAAGGCCCTGCTGTTGCCGAGGCTGAGTTTTGCTGAGGGACAGTGAAATGGAGATTCATGAACCGCTTTATCCAATTTAAAATGCTTTCTCTTGCCCCCAGGGTAATCTCTGTGTTTAAATCTTCCCTAGGAAAGTTTAGGGGCATAATTCCTGTGTTTGGCACGTGGACGTGGCCTCAATGTGGAGATCTCTACATGCATGGCCAGACTGGGGAGATTCCTTGGGTATACAAACCCTTCCCAGCTTGTCTTTCAAATGGCCATCTCTTCATGCAGGCTTGATGAAGCACTGGAGATGTCCGTGTTGGTATTTAGCTTGTCACTGGCTATTAGCACTAACATGCCATGTATAAATCTGCAAAGGAGATGCTGAGTAAGAGCCTCAGAGGGTATTTGACAACCCTCTATTTCTTTGTTTTCAATGTTCAACCCCCTTAGCACAACAGGATGGCTGCAGGTTAAAGATCCCGCATTACAGAAAGTTGATCTCAGCTGATGTACAAGCTTGGTGCTGGGAAGGCTATTTCCTTCAAAGCCTTTTTCTGCAACTCTCTAGTAGCAGGAGCTTGATGGTATTGACCAACAAACAACTGTATGTGCTTGCATTTCTTGTCCCCTTTGTAAGTGAGCAAGAGCATCTGGTGAGCATCAAAACAGATAATCAGTATTGAGAGTGCTTGGTTCTTGCCCATGTCAACAAGAGCGTAGCTCCCTGTGCGGCTGTTTCCTGACTAATGACCTGACCTTTCCAAAGGGACATGTCTAGGCAGCAACAGGCTGCTCTTGCTCCGTTGCTGCGGTTACAGCCCGGCAACAGTTCCCAGGGCATAGGGAGCTCAGCTCCATGTTGTGCTTACAGCCCTGCGAGGACAATTATGACGTCATAGGTTGCTCAGCTCCTATGGCCACAGCTCTGTGAGGGTTGCAGCAGGCAGCAGAACTGCAGTGGCTGCTGCGTGCACAGTGGGGCTGGAGAGGCGAGGCAGGAGCACCGGCATCATGCTGGGCCAGAAGCCAAAGCTCAGCAAGCGCATCCGTGAGCTGCGTGCCAGCATAGCCTTGCAAGGTGCTGCCCTGTTGGCTTTGCATTATGGAGTGGGCCAAGTAGGGGGCTTTTGGTCCCCGCATCATCCTGCATGGTACCAACAGCTTCTCAATGTCCTGCAGGGCAAGCAAGGAAGTTTTACAGCAAGTCAGAGGAAGGAAAGTTCAATGAGAACCGAGAGCTGCTGCCCCAGCTGCGAGAGGCGGTGCAGGAGGATATCCATGCCCTGGGCCTTGTCCGCAAGGTACCAGCAGGTCCCATTTGCTGTGTCCGTGACTGTGACTCTGCTGGACCTGCAGAGCTAGCTTCTCCACTGGTCCTCTCCAGGAGCAGGAAGTGCAGGGCAGCAGGAGGCTGGGACCATCCCCAGGCTGGCATTGATGTGTTCTCTGCCCTTCTTCTGCCCACAGCACAAGCTCACCATCTCTGAGGCTTGTGGAGCGGAGCAGCCCTTGGGCATTGCTTTGGCCAGTAAGACCTTGGAGGTAAGAGCAGAGTCCAGCGGGCCCAGGCTGCTGGCAGTGGGCTGGGGTTGAGGGGATGCTCAGAAGGACCGGTTGTAGGGAACAGGGACCTGGTGCCAGCACCAGGACAGCCCCCAGGGCTGGTGCAGTGAGACACGGGGTGTTCAGGAGTGCTCCCGTGGGACCCTTTGCACTGCAGGACCCATCAGTGTCCTCCATTAGCTCCCTGAGCAGGTCCTTTGCCCCAGCAGAGCTCCTGTCCTGCCAGGGAGTGACCAGGTCCCAGCATCCCCAGCTCTACCTCTCCCATCCAGGTGGCCCAGGAGAAGCTCCGGGCTGAAGTCTATGACAGGGTGAACAAATGCAACATGCTGCTGTACCAGATGGAGCAGCGGAGCCGGGCCAAGGAGCAGCTGCAGAGGCGGCTGCAGCAGCTGCAGGATGTCCGGGTGGCTGACAAGCAGCACCAGGTACAGGTCCCAGAGACCCTTCCTAGGGTGGCAGCACCCGTGGGGGGTTTCAGCCAGCCCTGCCCCCCTGGCTGGGCACTGGTCTCAGTCCATGGGCTCACCCCTTGTCTCCAACCATCTCTGCCCCAGGTGATTCGTGTGCTGCAGAACAGCATAGACAAGATGCACACAAAAATCCACGCTGGGCAGAAGGTGGCTGCCCTGTACGTGGTGGTGCGGGATGCCCTGAGGAAGGTGAGCTCATCCTCACCGTGCCGTTGTCTCACCCGCTCCCCCTGCAAAGGCACTGAAGTGCCCAAGGGGCTGTGCTGGTGGGACACCCTCCTGCGGGAGGTCCTCCTGCTCCCCTCCATCTTCTGTCCCAGCACAGGGCACCCCTGGGACTCAGTGGGCTGTGGCTCCCTGTGTCCCAGGAGCTGGCCCACCTGCCTCTGCACCTGGACCTCCTGAGTGAGATGGCCGAGCTGCAGCATGGGGAGGTGGAAGACATGGAGCTCATGGCCTTGGATGGGCTCCGAGCTGCTCGTGTAACCAAGGTGAGATGGTCCAGGGCACCTCAGGGTGCTTTCCTGCTCCCCAGAGCACACAGATGGCACCAGATGTCCGTGCTGCCGAGTCTTCCTTCAAGAAAAATAAAGACTGAGCTTGGCTTCCCCGCAGCACCCAGATGCCTCCATAGCTCCTCCTGTGTCTGGCTCTTGGGCCTGGCTGCCCTGAGCTGGGGACAGCTTCCGGAAGCCGTGGCCATGGGGAAGGTGGCATTCTCCATTCTCTAGCTGTCCTTGCTGGGTTTCCTTCCCAGGCTGTTTACACGGGGTAGGGGGTGGCATTTTTGATGCTGGCCGTGCCAGGCTCAGAAGCTCACAGAGCTCCATTGGAGCTTTGGGAGCCACTTCTCTTCTGCTCTGCTCTGCTCCAGGAGCACATGGCCAGGACGAAAACCCAGCTCCTTGCAGAGAGAGAGCTCAGGCTCCGCACCCTGGCTGCTCAGAAGGAGCCCATGGACAGAAGCTGGCGCAAGGAAGCAGAAGAAAGGCTTCTGAAAGGGGTGAGCTGGGGGGACCTGGCACAGGCAGGGTTGCAGGCATAGGGCGGGCATCAGTGCCCAGCCTGCCATGGGTGAGGGGCTGCAGGGCCGGCTCCCCCAGGGTGCCAGCAGCTCAGGGGTGACGATGAACATCCTTGCAGCAAGCCAGGCGTGACCTCACCAGGGACTTCCTGGGCCTGCCCGCAGAGGACCCACCGGTGGGTGAGTGCCTGTCAGGGTGCAGGGGGGGATGCAGGCGCAGCCGCAGGCATCCTTCCCTGCCACAACCTTTCCACCGCAGCCGCCGAGCCGGAGGCCCCCAAGTCCCAGCTGGAGCGTGAGGCCTGCGTGATGGAGAAGCTGGAGAAGGCCAAGGCTGCGGTGCAGTGCTCCCGCCTCTGGGTGAGTTGAAAACCCATCTCTGGTAGAACCTGGGGCTGCTCCAGCCCCAGGGAGCTGAGCCTCGTCTGCTCACCCTGTTCCATGGCAGGGTTCTCTGCTCTCCTCTGTCCCCAGAGCCCCCCAGGGCCCCTCTTGTACAGGCAGGGATGGAACTGCTTTGCTCCACGCCATGATCTTGCAGTGGTTCCTGTGGATCCTGGTGCAGAAACCTCCCCAGGACCACGGCCCAGATCCTGTACCCTGCAGGAGTGCCCTGGGCTGAGTCCTTGTGCTCTCCCCCGGCCAGGACATCCCCATCAGGATCCTGGCACAGCAGAAGTCCCTGGCGGAACTCGAGCAGTACCTCGCAGGGCGCAAGGAGGAGAAGCAGGAGCTGCAGAAGGCACTGAAGGAGCTGGAGATGCAGCTGGAGGAGCTCAAGTTTCGCCAGCCCCCAGCCACAACCAGGTGCTGCTGGCCTCCGGACAGTCGTGCCAAAGGGGCCATCACCCTTGGGGGCAGGGGGACATGTGCATGGCAGGGGTCCCAAGAGGGCACCCCTTCCTTGGTCACCCTGCAGCTGCCCACCCCTCCTGCACTGGGAGGGTTTCTGAGCAGAGTGCTGCCCCAGCTCTGGTGCTGGCAGAGCACGCAAAGCTCCTGCGCTGGCAGCAGGAGGAGCCTTGCTCCTTGCCTGACATGGGAAGTGGGAGCAGCAGCAGCACGGGGTTGAGGTGCAGGCAGCATCTCTGCCCTGCGCTTGGGGCAGGGGAGAAGCTGGGCAGCAGCTTTTGCAAGGGGTTTGGGGTGTCTGCACCCCTGTGCAGTTGTATGGATGTGAGCGTGCTTGGCTCCAGGGGGCTGGAGGAGGAGCTGAGGACGAGGCTGCAGTGGGAAGAGGCTCGGCTGGAGCAGAGGCGAGCCCAGCTGCTGAGGAGCCAGGAGACGCTGCTGGAGTTTGAGAACGGAGTTGACAACCTCTTCGTCCGCCTGCGGGGCATCCCCGTGCCTGGCCAGGTACCCGCACAATGCTGGGCTGAGCACAGCCCGGGCTCTGCTTGGTGGTGCAACGGCACCGTGGGGTGACCCTTGGTGCAGCAACCATCACCCCAAGGGGCTCGTTCTGCCCACCAAGGCTGTTCCCTCTCTGGCTCCAGGAGCACTCTGGCAAGGCCATGGGAGTGGACGAGAAGCTCCAGCAGTGCGAGCAGAAGCTGCAGTACCTGGTGCAGCGGGTGGCTGACCTGCCCCCCTCCAGCCTCAGCGAGGATGATGAGGTGCGCGGGGGCTCCATCCCTGCTGCGGTCTTTGGGGACCCACACAGGCTTTCCCGGGTGGCCCATCCCAAGCCATCCTCCCAGCTGGAGGATGGAGGTGCTCGAGGGAAGAGCCACGGAGCAGCTCAGGCCCAGGTGGCCCTGGGCTCTGTGGGGTGTTCCCTCCCTCCCAGGGGCACATCGAGGTTGGGCACCCCTTTGGTTGTAACACCCGCCTCCCCTTCAGCTATGAACACAGCGTCTCTTTCCCAGACTTTTGTGAAGGTCCGACAGCTCCTGGAGAAAACCCTCCTGAGCGATCCACGGAACCAGAAGGTTCCCTTGGAGGACACGGGCATGGGGGACCCAGGTAGGAAAGGGGACACATCCCACAGCAACTGCCCCAGCCCCTGCCCCCTGGGATTTCTGGGTGTCCTTGCCCACCTCCCACTGTCCCAGCAGAGCCCAACCCAGGAGCTGCTCCAGGCGTTGGGGCTGACCTCGGCTGTCTCCAGGCCTTTGAGCATAGTGCTGGTTTGATGTGTGCATGTGGCAGACTGGAGGCAGATGGTGGGCTGGGGAGCGTAGAAGCACCGCAGGAGCAAGGAGGGATGCTGTGGAGCTAGCGGGGAGACCCTCGTCTTCCAAATCCCTTGGCTGGGAATATTCTTCACAGCCAGGGCTTGGCTCTGCCAGCGGCCTCCTCCTAGGGGAGCTTCTGGTACCTTACCACCTTTTCTTAACAAAGCAGGACCCAGGGCTTTATGGGGAGCCCCAGCAGGGTTGAGACAGGCCACAGCAGGTCCTGCAGGTCCCCCTGGGCTGCTGCTGTGGCACAGCCAATGGGCAGTGCCTGTCCTGAGGGCTCTCCACGGTGCCAGCAGCCCTCCCAAATGTGCCGGCTCCTCCTGGGGACACAGGCACAGCAGAGGCAGCCCCACAGACCCTCCCCAGCCCGCTCCTCTCCGCTCTCTCCTCCAGACTACTTTGATTTTGATGACGACCACAGTGGCCTTGTCCTCACCAGAGAAGCCATCAAGAGCCAAGGGCTGGAGCTGATCGAAAGCAAGAGGCAAAGCAAGAAGCAAAGCAAGAGGAAGTAGTGGTTGCTCCCCGAGAGCTGGGGATGCCTCAGACCATCTGCTGTACCCTTTTCCCCTTCGATGTAATAGAGCAGATGCTTTTCCTTCCTCCCAAGCCTGTGGTAGAGCTGAAACAGGGGCTCCCAGGTGCCTTGTCACCCAGAACACACGGGGCTCAACCTGACTGCTGCTGCTGCACCCGGCCCTGGGCGAGGCAGTGCTGGGGACGTGACGGGTGGCAAAGAGGTACAAGAGGAAGGCAGAGGAAACCAATGGCAGTACATTGGTTCCTGGGTTTAGAAAGCAACAATGAACCATGGGGTACCCCAGGAAAGCAGCGGCAGGGATCTTCCTGCCACAGTGACCCCTGAGCTCGATGGGGCATCCCTGCAGTGGGGCAGGGGAGCTGAATGAGACATGGCGGGGCACTGGCCCCACCACACAGAGACCATGGGGCAGGAGAGCCATGTTGGGGAGTGCCAATCTGGGGCTCACCCCAAATTGTGGAAAAGGAGCTGGGGCTGCATGGGGCTCTCCAGCATAGAAAAGTATGGCTTGAACCTGCCCGAGGGGAGACTGAGCTGAGCTCTGAGGCAGAAGCTCTTCCCTGTGAGGGTGCTGAGGCCCTGGCACAGGGTGCCCAGAGAAGCTGTGGCTGCCCCATCCCTGGCAGTGCTCAAGGCCAGGTTGGACACAGGGGCTTGGAGCAAGCTGCTCCAGTGGAAGGGGTCCGTGCCCATGGCAGGGGTTGGAGCTGGAGGAGCTTTGAGGTCCCTTCCAACTCTAATTATGAGAAAACACATTATATATTCATCACACTAAGGGAAAATGGCAAAATCACCACCCAAGTGTTGAATGTTCCTAAATCAGTTTCTTTAGAACATTCAATACTTGGTGTATTTCCAGAATTGTGCAAAACAGTTTGCTTGGATCAAAGGAGAAATCTAATTTTACAGATTATTTGTTTTGGTTGAATCATGCCTTCAGTTGAACGAATCTGGGTTTGTTACTTGCGTGTGATCTGCCAGACATCACAGTGTTCTTTCTGAATTAACAGATGAAATAGGTTTGTATCAGTGAATTCAACTTCCTTCATTGCCTTGTTTGGGATTTTAAGCAGCTGATTATTAAGGCCTCCTCAGACATCCTGGAAAAGGCGTTCCACTTTCCCAACAGTTTGGCTTAACAAATCCCTCCAATTACTTCTAACAGCTTCTTTCAAGCAAGTGTCCATATCCCTCATGAGCTGCCTATGGGAATTTTGTGGATGAAGAAGAGAAGCCAAAGTCATTTGATGTGGAAAATGTAACTTTATCTCCTTCGCATGTCAGCATGGAGCGTTTCAGCAGCTTTTGATACGTGATTAGCCAGAAAACATCTGCTCCCTCTCCTGGTTCAGAGAGAGTAAGACAGCAATGGGAGGTTACTACGAACCTGCAGATACACTACCACCACCAAACTCCAGATACAGCCACAGCTACACAGCATATATGGATTTACTGTCCCCTGAAACACCTGTGTCACCACAGTCTGACTGCAATAGTATATTGATGTATTTCTTTCCTTAGCCAGAAAAACTCTGCTAGATTTAGTAAGAGAACTGATGCTTCTGCTTTGCTTAGCCCCTGTGCAGTACTGCACTGGAAAGCTCAACACCTTGACCCATCTCACATGCACTAAGAAGACTCTGACAAAACCAGCTGCTGTGAGCTTTCCTGCAGTACTGGTCAGCACAAATGGGTGCTCATGTGCAAGGGCACAGGATGAGGCATTACCCCATTGACGTGGTTTAACCCCAACCAGACAGCTTTCACTCACTCACTCCCCCCCTTTCTTGCCCTCCCCCTACTCCTGGAGGGACAGAGAGGAGAATCAGAAAGAATGCAACTCCCACGGGTTGAGGTAAGAACAGTTTAGTAACTAAGGTATAACACAAATCACTACTGCTACCACCAATAATAGTAATGATAAAGGAAATAACAAGGGAAGAGAATACAACACCCCATCACCAGGCGACCGATAACTTGCCCCCCCAGCCCGACCGATACCTCCTCCAACCCTGCAGTCCACTTAGCCCTTCCAGCTAACCCCAGTTCCCCCTGGGCATGACGTGCTGTGGTATGGAATACCTCTTGGGTCAGTTTGGGTCAGGTGTCCTGTCTCTGCTTCCTCCCGGCTTCCCCTCCTCCCTGGCAGAGCAGGAGGCTCACAAAGTCCTTGGACAAACCAAAACATCATTTTTATCAGCTCTGTTCCCAGCCCAAAAGTAAAACACAGCACTGCACCTGCTACCCAGACAGAGAAAAATGACTGCTACTGCTAAACCCAGGACACCCATTTACAAACATAATCCTAAGGCACACATTCTTCCCTGTGAGGGTGCTGAGGTGCTGGCACAGGGTGCCCAGAAAAGCTGTGGCTGCCCCATCCCTGGCAGTGTTCAAGGCCAGGTTGGACACAGGGGCTTGGAGCAAGCTGCTCTAATGGAAGGGGTCCCTACCCATGGCAGAGGTTGGAGCTGGGTGAGCTTTAAGGTCTCTTCCAACCCAAACCAGTCTGGAACTCCATGATATAGCACCACAGATGACAATCAGGCAACACTGAGAAAGGCCTAAAAATCCCTCTATGGAAAAGAAATTAGCATATATGTCTGTATTTGATGGAAGCAAAAAAGATAAAGAATGAAACAAAAATTCCATCTCAAGTGGGTGGAAAAGGCCACAAAGAGGATGAGAACAAAACTCACCGAACGGGTAATAAAGTCACTTTTCGGGCAGTGGCAACAGAGCAGGTGGGTGAGGACATCCCCTGCTTGCTCCTCCCCACAGGACGCAGCCAGCCTCAGTCAACACTTGTGTTGTTACAGCTGGAGATGTTCAAATGGGTGAAAGCACTGGCAAGGCCCAGGCTGGCTGAGCTGGGTCATCCCTGCTTGCCCCACGTACACAGGAGCATGAAGCAGCACAGGTTGATCCACTCCGGTGGAACGGGTGAGTTAATGAAACCATTACAAACACAGGGCAGGACTGCTCAGAGCTGTCAAGTTAGGATTATTTGTGGGCTATAAAGCAAGGGAGGTTAACATCTGTGGTGTTATAAAAATGGTATTTGTGGATCAGAAGCAAAGAATTGTGTGTTAGGACAACATGGGCAGTGGCTGCTAAAATTCTCCCTGAGATGGCTGTGCAGGATTGAGGCAAAAGCTTTATTGTCCAAGCATTCTTTATGTGCTTGGGAAGAACACTGGGTATCTGAATGAGACACAGGCTGCCCAAATCAATGTGCCTTAATAAGAACAATGCGTGCGTACACACAGCTCCTCCCGATCTATGCCCCTCTTCAGAGGGAAAACCCTCAATTCTATACATGAAAAGCATTAAGGAAGGGTCAGTTCACTCTCAATCAACTCAAGGGCAAGACTTCACTGTGGTCAGAGGAGCTGCGGATTTGTCAGCATAGCCCAGACTTGTTTCAAAATGGATTTATGAACAGATAGCAAAAGCTTTGCAAGAAAAATGGTCTGAAGTTGGATGGAACACCTTGAGCATGTGAACACGTTTGGTACTCAGCACCACGAGGCATTCTGCAAGTCTGATGGGTCTTTTTAATACCTCGCTTCTAATACCTTCTGTAGGCCATCAGCTGGATCTCATCACTCAGCAATTCCTTTCAGACACAAAACCCAAACAGCAACTGTGACCCTCTCAAACTCTTTGGGGGTAAAAATGATGCTCAGAGTTCCAAAGGAGATCAGATAGATCAGAAACTGTGAGGAGTTCTGGCAAAGCAGTGATGAGACCTTCCAAAATGCCTTTTATCTTGGAAAGGCAAGAATCAAAAGAGAAGAGCATCTGACAGGGCTCTTTTAGTCATGGAATTCAAATACAAAGTGCAGGTTCCAAAAGGCCCCATAAATGCATTGGAAGTTGGAAGTAATTGGCTCTCCTGTGAACCAGGAAAGAGGAGCAATAAAAACCCTACACCAAAACCATCAGGAATGACAGGCAGCTGGGAAGCTCCAGAGAGAAACTATGTGCATTTTGTCAACCAAGAACAAGTAAGACACAATCCCTAAGTAGCCCAGAAGAGCAGACACCCTCTGGGCTGCCTTATAAAGGAGCAGATGCATTTAAAATGCAAAAGAAATAAAGACAAGAACACTGTAAGAATCTACCTCAGCCTCTGCCAGAAATAAAAGGCAAATTCCTGGACTTGGACCGCACAAAATAAGGAGGAATAAAACTAACTAAAACAGAGTTTTGCAGCTGAATTTTACTAGGTTCTAAAGGGAATCTGAGCTCTTATGGTAGTGTAAATTGAACGTGATAATGTACGAAGGAAATAAGCCATCTGCTTGGAAAAGAAACAAGGGCAATTGCAATAGGCGGAAAAACACAGGCTTATTAACACGGTATTGGAATGAATATATTAGCAGATTGATTAGATGTGAACTGCTGAGATACACACCCAGATCAATGAATGCTCAGTAGAAGCAAGAAAACTGCAGACAAATATGAGAGGTCCCTCCTGTGCTGGGGCCCCAAGCTGGATGCAGGACTTGCATAGAACATAGAACGCAGAATTACTGGGAAAGAAGCCTCAAAACCATAGCTGACAAGCAGTGACAGGCAGGAGTGCCTACCTGCAGGTTTTAGTGCAGCTGCTTGCCCCAGCCATAGGGCTTCTGGCCACAGTAATCATGCTGGAGCTTCAATCAGCAGGAACAGAAGGATGGAGCAAAGCACAGTCCTTTAAAACAAACATATCCTGAGTAAGTTTACCCGAGGATACAAACGGGAGTCAGAAAAGGTGCATGTCTGCATCTATCTGTAATTTAGTTTAGATTAGAAAAAGAAAGGTAATATTTAAGTATATTGAGATCACATTTCAGCTTCAGACACTGGCGTCATGGAATATCCATTTGTGACAGAAGACAACAAAAACCTCATCAAAATACTACTGCAGTCA